CCCCATTAGGGAGATGGTGGCGGGGTATAAATAAAGTTTATTATTGTTATTTATTTTAATTTACACATCTGCCTCTTCTTTCTCTTTCTCTTTTGTTTCTCCCTCTCTTTACACTCCTTCTGCTGATTTTTGTTTGTTATTTGCAACTCTTTTCAGTCCTTGGCTTAAGATGTGAGCTGATTTGAGAGAAAAGTAGATTATTAAGCAAACAGACAAGTGGTTTGCACCAAGTTCTCCCTCGATATTTTCTTGATACTATTTTTTACTTCTTTTGTCTCAGCTCTCCATACAATAACTTTGACCATCTTGCTCCAATGCTTTTGCATAAACAGCACATTCCAGTCAGAGCTGATGCTTTTGTTACTGATGTCACTGTGCTTGGTGGCTGAATCACATATGCACAATGTGCTGATGTAATCCAAATAAGAATGTTAGTGGTGCGTGAATCACAATTACCAGGATATCTCCATCCAGGAGGGACAGCTGTCTGTCAGCTGGTGAAAAGTGCTTCAGGACAACCAGAGCTTCTTAAACTTTTCCTGCTTTCCACCCAATAAATTGTTGTATAACCCCAGTATAGGCATTCCCCGAGTTACAGACATCTGACTCACAACGACTCATTGTTACAAACAGGGTGAGACAACAAATAGTGAGAGAAATCAACCCCTAGGAAGAGAAATTCACTCCTGGAGGAGTTATCATGGGAAAAAGGTGTCTCCACTGAAGGTTTATCACCAGTCCTTGTTTCCACAACAAACCATTTTATTTCAAAATCCAATGATCACAGGGAGAGAAAGTGAGGGGGAATCTTCTGACCAGGGGCACAGACCGCAAAACAAACACCGCAGGGTTTAATAATACGTATATCTGGCTGGAGTTACACTTAAAAAATGTACCTGTTCTGACTTACATACAAATTCAACTTAAGAACAACCCTACAACCAGAGGGATTATTATTGGTGGCCCAATAATATTGTGTATTGTGTATTGTGTATGTGTTTGTATGCTTTTTAATGGAATATTGCTGCTTGTCGTTGTATTGTAAACCGCGTTGAGTCGCCGATTTAGGCTGAGAAACGGCGGTATATAAGCACAGTAATAAATAAATAAATAAATAAATAAATAAATACAGAACCAATCTTGTTCATAACTTGAGGACTGCCTCTATATAGATATATAAAAAAAGTATAAAGAGCAAATATTTACTGACAAGGTACCAGCATTTCATAAAATCATAGTTTGAAGAGACCTTGTGGACCATCTAGTCCAACTCCCTGCCAAGAAGAAGGCTGGAGGTGGGCTACAGAATAATTAAAAAACATAAACATTTTAAAAATACCACAAATACACATATTAAAATGTATTTCTAAAAATATACATATTAAAATGTATTTCTATATGTACACGTTCATATAAGGAATGCTCAAGTAGTATATAGCCCTTTAACTTAAGTAGTTTAATATATGCCACTTGGTTTAGAACTAATGTCGATTTATGCACATTTATCTTTGACATCTTACTGACGAATATGCAATACAATACTGGACAGAAGAGAGAGACAGACAGAAACTGATGAAAAATAATACTTTGTAACACAATTTTTGTTCCTGGGTTATAAATGTCATTTCCTAATTGGTTCTGTCATAAAAACATGGAAAAGATGTATTAAATTGCAAAAACTGTGGGATGTCCTGCAGAACATTTTGCTATTGTTTTTCAGTTAAGATCTCAGCGCCGAGCCTCAACCAATTCAACATAGTTTATAGCAGTGACAAAAACAAAGTTTCTGGAAGATAACAATGACTTTCAAAGTGGGTGCCACACAATTAAACAGGAAATAACACTTTCAAACCAGGAACAGATTTTTTTCCAAATTTTATTACATTGTGTAATTTCTGGAAAATGGCTGAATTCTTTTTATATATACAGTATAAATATGCATATTGCTGAAAAATATTTGTGTGCATATATTTATACACGCACACACACACACACCAGATCAATGTGTTGTTACACAATTTACAAAAACTGTAATTTATTCCTATACTAGCTTGGGGGCCCAGCGGTGCCCAGGTTTATGAGATAGGTATTGTTTGTCTGTGCTGCAGTTTTAGTTTAGATCCAATGTCTGATGGGTTCAGTGGGTACGGGTGAACTACAACACCCATATGGAAGTCCCATTGTCCATGGTCCATCCTCCTCCAAACTGCACTAGGATGTAGGGTGGGTCATGGGGGCTCTGTGTGACAAGTTTGATCTTGATCAGTCATTGGTGTGGGTCACATTGGTCTCAGGAAGTGAATTAAGGCACTGCAAGTCCCATCATTCATGGTCCATCATCCCACAAACCATACCAGGATGTAGAGTGGGTTACAGGGGCTCTGTGTGCCAAGTTCAATCTTAATCTGCCATTGTTGAGGGTCATAGTGGTCTCAGGAAGTGAGTGAAGGTACTGCAAGTCCCATCATCCATGGTCCATCGTCCTCCAAACTGCACCAGGATGTAGAGTGGGTCATGAGGACTCTGTGTGGCAAGTTTGGTCTTGATCAGTCATTGGATAAGGATTGCAGTGGTCTCAGGAAGTGAGTGAAGGTACTGCAAGTCCCATCATCCATGGTCCATCCTCCCCCAAACATCATCAGATCAGTGGTAACCCAACCTATTGCCCCTACAAGGGCATGAGGTGGGTCATGGGAGTTATGGGTGTCAAGTTTGATCCAGGTCCGTCATTCATGCTGGTCCCAGTGGTCTCACACAGTGAGTGAAGATACTGCAAGTCCCATCATCCATGGTCCATCCTCCTCCAAACCACACCAGGATGTAGATTGGGTCATGGGGGATCTGTGTGCCAAGTTTGGACCAGATATGTCATTGGTAGGCATCAGAGTAGTCTATGGGAGCTGAAGCGAATGAAAGTACTGCAAATCCCATCATCCGTGGCCCATCCTTCCTCAGACCATACCAGGATGTAAAGTGGATCATAGGGGTTATGTCTGCCAAGTTTAGTCCAGGTCCGTCCCTTGTGTGGGTCACAATGGCCTGTGGAAGTGGGAGCCAGTCAGATATAGATTGGGCAAAAGAGAGAAATGAGCCCCATTATTGGGACATTTAGGGATGCTTTGGTGATGCGAAATGGCGCCCTCTGGTGTACATTCGCAGTCAGAGCAGCCACTCTTTTAAAAGGGAGAGTGAAATTTCCTCTCCCCAAAGCGTCCCAAACGGTCAGCGCATGCGCAGAACCACAAAACTGGGACTGGGAAATAGGCAGGTGGGCTGGCTCTCTGGTTGAAAACAATCGGTAACGGTCGGCGCATGCGTAGTAAGGGACCACGCCTGTGGCTATTTGTGAAAGAGCTCATAGATATATGAAATAGTAGAGTGAAACAGAAGGTAAAAGAACAATTGAAAGACTCCTTTAGTGACAATTCCGCCCAGGCGACGTGGGGCAATGATTTAGACTTTGCTAGAGATATTAAAGAGTGAAATCTCTTTTACCCTCTTAATATCGTGTTGTTGAAGATTTTCATGACCGGAATCACTGGGTTGCTGTGAATTTCCCGGGCTGTATGGCCATGTTGCAGAAGCATTCTCTCCTGACGTTTCACCCACATCTACGGCAGGCATCCTCAGAGGTTGAGAGGTCTGTTGGAAGTAGGGTTTATATATCTGTGGAATATCCAGGGTGGGAGAAAGAACTCTTGTCTGTTGGAGGCAAGTGTGAATGTTGCAATTGGCCAGCTTGATTAACATTGAATGRCCTTGCAGCTTCAAAGCCTGGCTGCTTCCATTGTTGGGAGGTGTCAGCTGGCCCTGATTGTTTGGATTTCTCATTTGACAATGACACACACASAGAGCTTCTTTCTCTTTCTGTGGGCGAGCAGATGGTGACTACTGAATCACATATGTTCTGTATCAGAAACTAGAGCTGATATGGTCTATCCAATGCAATTTTCTGAATCAGCACCCCAAATTACCAAACCAAATCTAAAGTTGACCAAAACTGATTTGTAACCCTTTTGGTATTAATGTTGGAGTGTGGTCCCTGGTCAATATATATATTGACCATGGACCACACTCCAACATTATATTGACCAGGGACCACTCTCCAACATTAATACCAAAAGGGTTACGGATCAGTTTTTAGTCAACTTTAGATTCAGTTTGGTAATTTGGGGTGCTGATTCAGAAAATTGCATTGGATAGACCACATCAGCTCTAGTTTCTGATACAGAATATATATATTGGAAACCAGTGATCTAGAAGAATCCTCCACCTTGGGCAATTGTGGAGCAGAACAAACAACTCTGTATGATTGCCCATAATGTCCTGCCTCATGCACAGAGGAAGAACTGTTTAAATGCGGTCTGGAGAACAAGCCCTGTGAGGAGCGGCTTAAAAAGCTGGGCATGTTTAGCCTGAAGAAGAGAAGGCTGAGAGGAGACATGATAACCATGTATAAATATGTGAAAGGAAGCCACAGGGAGGAGGGAGCAAGCTTGTTTTCTGCTTCCCTGGAGACTAGAACGTGGAACAATGGCTTCAAACTACAAGAAAGGAGATTCCATCTGAACATGAGGAAGGACTTCCTGACTGCGAGAGCCGTTCAGCAGTGGAACTCTCTGCCCCGGAGTGTGGTGGAGGCTCTTTCTTTGGAAGCTTTTAAACAGAGGCTGGATGGCCATCTGTCAGGGGTGATTTGAATGCAATATTCCTGCTTCTTGGCAGGGGGTTGGACTGGATGGCCCGTGAGGTCTCTTCCAACTCTTTGATTCTATGTTGCCCGTTTTTGATCTACAATTATTTAGCTGCTTGTCTAACTTTAATTCTATGTGTTTACTTATTTATGCAATGCGTTTGACACGAAATAAATAAAAGTAATGGGGTGTGACTCTATCCCTTTTCATAGTCTACGGTTGGGAACAGCGGCAAATGGGGGCGAAGAGTCGGCGCGCGCCGTTCAGCCGGCCACCACGTGACTATGGCCACCCAATTAGCGTCTAGGAAGCCTCGAATCGCCCAATGAGGCGACGTGTTTAAGTGGCGCCTCGTTGGAATCCTTATTGTTGGGGGAAAGTGGCGCTTGGCCTAGGGTCGGAGGTAAGGCTGCTCGGAAGGGAGGAGTGAGGGAGAGATTTCAGCTTCGGTACTCTCCCTGGTAGACTAAGGCTCAGCTCTTGAAGGAACAAGAGTGCTCTAGAACATGTGCAGAGTGCCTGCAGTCCACCTCCCTGTATTTGGGGTGGTGGTTTGTTGTTATTATATTTATTTGTTTACTAGCTGTACCCGCCACGAGTTGCTGTGGCCAACCTCCCTTCCCTCTTTCCTTCCTTCCCTTTCTTCTTCTCTCCTTCCTTCCCTTTCTCTCCTTTCTTCCTTCTCTACCTCTTTCCTTCCTTCGCTTTCTCCTTCCACCCTTCCTTCTGTCTTTCCTTCCCTCTCTCTTTCTCTCCTTTCTTCCTTCTCTACCTCTTTCCTTTCTTTTATTATTATTATTTTATTATTAAACTTTATTTGTACCCCGCTAACATCTCCCGCAGGACTCGATGCGGCTTACAAAGGCCAAGGCCTCAACACAACAACAGACAATAACAATACGATACAAAGCAAATTAAAAACATAAGCAATAACAAAACATTACATCATTACGCAATAAAAACCAGGGCCGGGCCAGTGATGGGTACAGGTTAAAAAAGTGCTGGGTGTGGCAGGTGGTATGTTGGATTTCTGGGCAAGTGCAATGTGCAGAGTCTTAAACTCTAATAAAGTGCTTCTGGGACGTAGTGCTGGAGCTTATCCTATTCCGGAAAGGCACAGGTCTTCAAGTTCTTCCTAAAGACTGCCAACATGGGTGCTAGTCTAATGTCTTTGGGGAGGGTGTTCCAGAGTCGGGGGGCAACCACAGAGAAGGCCCTGTCCCTCGTCCCCACCAAACGCGCCTGCGACGCAGGTGGGATCGTGAGCAGGGCCTCTCCGGATGAACGAAGGGAGCGCATGGGTTCATAAACGGAGATGCGGTCACGCAGGTAGGCAGGTCCCAAACCGTTTAGGGCTTGTAGGTAAGCACCTGCACCTTGAATTGGGTTCGGTAGGTAAACGGCAGCCAATGGGGCTCCTTAAACAGGAGGGTTGACCTCTCCCTGTAAGGAGCGCCGGTTAACATCCTGGCCGCCGCCCGTTGGACCAGTTGGAATTTCCGAGCCGTTTTCAAGGGCAGCCCCACGTAGAGCGCATTACAGTAATCCAATCTAGAGGTGACCAAGGCGTGGACCACCCCGGCCATATTAACCTTTGCGAGGTACTGTCGCAGCTGGCGCACAAGTCTTACTGTGACTGATCTAGGTAGTTGTTGTCATCTAGAAAACCCTGGAGCTGGGAGGCGACCACCCGCTCCAGCACCTTGCCCAGGAAAGGGAGGTTGGAGATTGGTCTGAAGTTGTTCAGCACTGTGGAGTCAAGGGAAACCTTTTTAAGGAGTGGATGAACCACTGCTTGTTTCAGTTGAGATGGAAAAACCCCCTGCTCCAGAGATGCATTAATGATCAACACAAACCAATCTACCAACCCCTTCCTGGCCGATTTAATTAGTCAAGATGGGCAAGGGTCTAGAGCCGACGTGGTCGCCCTCACAGCACCAAGGACCTCCTCCACGGTCTCAGGAAGAACAAGCCTAAAATAATCCCACATTTCTTCGCTTTCTCCTTCCATCCTTCCTTCTGTCTTTCCTTCCTTCTCTCCCTCTTTCTCATTCTTCCTTCTCTACCTCTTTCCTTCCTTCCTTCACTTTCTCCATCCTTCCTTCTGTCTTTTCTTCTTTCTTCCCTCTTTCACTCTTTTCTTCCTTCCCCTCCTTCTTCCTTGCTCTCTCTTTCCTTCCTTTTTTCTTTCCTTCTCTCCTTCCTTCCTTCTCTACCCCTTTCTTTCTTCCCCCCTTTTCTTTTCCTCTTTTCTTCCTTTCTTTACTCTTTGCTTCCATCTCTCTTTCCTTCCTTTCTCTTTCTTTCTCCCTTCCTTCCTTCCTCCCTCTTCCTTTTTTCTTTTGTCATTTAGCTTTTTGTCATTTAGCTTTTTTGGGGGTTTAAGTCCTTTCCACTTTTTTTGGTGGGGGGGGGGTATGAGTGATGGTCACTTGTTGGTCTGTTAGGGGGTAGTGTCCAAATTTTGTGTAATTTTCCAGTGGTTTTGTTACATGTTTATTTAGATCAGGGGTCCTCAAAATTTTTAAACAGAGGGCCAGGTCACAGTCCCTCAAACTCTTGGAGGGCCAGATTATAATTTGGAAAAACATGAATGAATTCCTATGCACACTGCACGTATCTTATTTGTAGTGCAAAAATACACTTAAAAACAATACAACAATTAAAATGAAGAACAATTTAAACAAATATAAACTTATTAGTATTTCAGTGGGAAGTGTGGCCCTGCTTTTGCCTGATGAGATAAGATGTTATTGTGTGCTTTCAAGTCCTTTGAGACTTAGGTTGACTCTGAGTGAGGGCCGGGTAAATGACCTTGGAGGGCCGCATCCGGCCCACTGGCCTTAGTTTGAGAACCCCTGATATAGATACTAGCCATCCCCTGCCACACGTTGCTGTGGCCCAGTCTGTGTATATGTGTTTGTATGTGTGTGTGTGTGTATGTATATTTACGTATATGTGTATATATGTGTGTTTGTGTATATGTGTGGTTTTGCGCTTGCATTGTAATGTTTGTTTGTTTTTTGTTTTTTGTTTTTTAAGTCCCTTCTGCTGCATTTTCCAGTGTTTTTATGAGTGATGGTCACAGATTGGCCTGATAGTTGTATTGTGTCCAAATTTGGTGTCAATTCGTCCAGTGGTTTTTGAGTTACGTTAATCCCACAAACGAACATTGTATTTTTATTTATATAGATATCCCACTCCAATTTCTTAAGAGAGTCAAAGTAGCTTGGCGTTTGGGAAATGTTGTTATACGGGGTGAGCATCCCTTATCCCAGCGTTTCTCAACCTGGGAGTCGGGACCCTATTTGAATAAATAGGATATTTCCTCCTTTTGTGCCAGGCACCAGCACTCCATCTGTGCCCATTGGTACAGGTTTCTTTCCATGAAATTCTGAATGGTATAAATTACAAAATTTTGGATTAAGTTACAACACTGTGCATATCCGATAGATTATGGAAGCACTACCCATCTCCACACTGAGTATCTGCTGGGGCTTTGGTTCCAGGATCCCCTGTGGGTACCATGCTCTGTGAATGCTCAATTTCCATTAAATAAAATGATGTCATAAAATTAAGCCTTTTGTACAAAATGCAAAAATCAGTTTTCTTTTTGGATTAAAAAAACATAATTTCAAATTCTGGAAAAACATTTGGTTGGGCTTGAGCACTAGAAAAAAAATGTCTAGGGAACCTAGAGGAACTGGCACGAGGATTGGTAAATTTATGGTGTAGACTACATGTAGTCTTCCCAGTTCTCCTCTGAGCTGGCTTACATTTATTATCCAAATTCTTTCCATAGCACTCTCTCCAGCTTTCTTCATTTATCTCTATGAGTCAATTGAGGAGTAGTGCAAAGGCTGGGAGGTAAGGTTTCAGCTTCTTCTGTTTCCCGGGAGAAACAGAGATAAACATGTGTTCCTATTGGTTATATTGAGGCCGTTTTGAGTTATTAATTACAGTATATGCCAGAAGGTGAAACTGCGGTGGAAATATAACCCTAATTCGAACCATTTATTTATTTTTGGGTTTTTTTTAAAAAATATATTTAATATATTTTATTGATTTTCTTTCTTTTTTCTTTTTTTTATATATATAGTTTTTATTAAGCAGTTTAAACATCAACACAGGGAAAGAGGGGGAACATTACCAAAGAAGATAGAAAAGTAGGAAACCCAATCACCATTAAGAAAGGAAGAAAAAACCAAAAAAATAGTCCAGAAAAATTTCAAAAAAACCCCAAAAAACCACACACAAAAAATTCTAAAATGACTTAGAATACATCAATACCTTCATTACTCTTATATTCCATCCTCAATTGATTACATCAAATATGTTTATATATCTTGTATACTTGTTTTTTCACCTCTGTTCCCCTCCCCTTCCGAGCCACTTCAGTTTACATTCTCTTTCCAAAATATCATTTCTTCTTGTGGAGGCAATTTCCCATCTACTTCTTTTAAACTGTTCTCAATATATTTTCCCCAAACTTCATCAAAGTCATGTTCCTTCCATACCCCTTTCCTAACTCTTAACCTACATGTCAATTTATCATTTATTGCTATTTTTCATAGTTCTTTATGTTTGTTTGTTCAGTCGTCTCTGACTCTTCATGACCTCATAGATCAGCCCACGCCAGAGCTCCCTGTCGGCCATCACCACCCCCAGCTCCTTCAAGGTCAGTCCAGTCACTTCAAGGATGCCATCCATCCATCTTGCCCTTGGTCGGCCCTCTTCCTTTTGCCTTCCACTTTCCCCAGCATCATTGTCTTCTCTAGGCTTTGCTGTCTCCTCATGATGTGGCCAAAGTACTTCAACTTTGTCTCTAGTATCCTTTCCCTCCAGTGAGCAGTCGGGCTTTATTTCCTGGAGGATGGACTGGTTGGATCTTCTCGCAGTCCAAGGCACTCTCAGAACTTTCCTCCAACACCACAGCTCAAAAGCATCTATCTTCCTTCGCTCAGCCTTCCCTAAGGTCCAGCTCTCACATCCGTAGGCTACAGGGAATACCATGGCTTTGACTATGCGGATCTTTGTTGCCAGTGTGATGTCTCTATTCTTTACTATTTTATCGAGATTGGACATTGCTCTCCTCCCAAGAAGTAAGCGTCTTCTGATTTCCTGGCCACAGTCTGCATCTGCAGTAATCTTTGCACCTAGAAATACAAAGTCTGTCACGGCCTCCACGTTTTCTCCCTCTATTTCCCAGTTGTCAATCATTCTTGTTGCCATAATCTTGGCTTTTTTATGTTTAGCTGCAACCCAGCTTTTGCGCTTTCTTCTTTCACCTTGATTAGAAGGCTCCTCAGCTCCTCCTCACTTTCGGCCATCAGAATGGTGTCATCTGCATATATGAGGTTGTTAATGTTTCTTCCAGCAATTTTCACCCCAGCTTTGCATTCATCAAGCCCCGCACATCGCATGATGTGTTCTGCATACAAGTTAAAAAGGTTGGGTGAGAGGATGCAGCCTTGCCGTACGCCTTTCCCAGTCTTGAACCAGTCTGTTGTTCCGTGGTCAGTTCTGACTGTTGCTACTTGGTCCTTGTACAGATTCCTCAGGAGAGAGACAAGGTGGCTTGGTATGCCCATCCCACCAAGAACTTGCCGCAATTTATTATGATCCACACAGTCAAAGGCTTTAGAATAGTCAATGAAGCAGAAATAGATGTTTTTTCTGAAACTCCCTGCTAAACTAAATAGTTCTTTATACCATTCTTCAATTGATATATTCATTTTACCTTTCCAATTCTTCGCTATCAGTAATCTTGCTGCAGTTAACATGTTATCTATTGCATCTGTATCTTCTTTTTCAATTTCTTAATGTTATATAGTGACAACAGTGCAATGCTTGCACTTTTCCCTACCTCCTTTTCCACCTCAGGCTCCTTTAAATCAGGAGTGGGGAAATTGTGGGATGTTTGCAACTCTCCCCTCTTCTTTGCACCCCTAAAGTCTTCAAGGCCCTATTTTTAAAAAGAAATGGGTATATATGAAATTCCTAGGTGTCTCTAGGGCAGTGATTCTCAATCTGTGGGTGCCCAGGTGTTTTGGCCTACAACTCCTGGAAATCCCAGCCAGATTACCAGCTGTTAGGATTTCTTGGAGTTGAAGGCCAAAACATCTGGGGACCCACAGGTTGAGAACCATTGCTCCTAGATACACTTTCCGCAGAGAAACCCAGCATGGGAGGGAAGCTGATGGTGGCTACAGGTTGGCATATGTTCTGTATCAGAACCTAGAGCTGATGTGGTCTATTCATTGCAATTTTCTGAATCAGCACCCCAAATAACCAAACCAAATCTAAAGTTGATCAAAAACTGATTTGTAACCCTTTTGGTAGTGATGTTGGGAGAGTGTTTCTTGGTAAAAAAAAAAAAAGGGGGGGGGAACCACTGATCTAGATTCAGTGGGCTGCAGGTCTATAAACTGCCTTCTCGGGGAATGCCCTGAATATTGCTGGACTGAGGCTGGAGCCTGGACAACACTTCACCCACCCCTGGTAACTGATGGAGACTGTATAACAAAGAAGCCCCAAAATGGTTCAAATTCTTCTCCTTTAACTTTGGCAGATCAACCTGCAATGGCTGGCTTTAGTGAGCGAATACAAGACATAGATCAGATGAGCAAGGAGCTGGTGAAACTGATAGCAGAAGGCAAGTCAGTGGAGATGCTGAAGGAGAACTTCTCCATACGGGAGAAGATGGTTGACAAACTACTGGATACTCAGAAGAACACAAAACAGCTTATCAAAGGTACAGCTCATACTGTACTTCCTTAGAAAACAGCAATATACAGGGCCTTTAGGCAGACTTGTCTCCTAAATAATAATAATAATAATAATAATAATAATAATAATAATAATAATACTTTATTTATACCCCGCTACCATCTCCCCAAGGGACTCAGTGCGGCTTACATGAGGCCGAGCCCAAATACCACAGTACAAGCAATAATAACAACAACAGTACAAGCAATTAAATAAAAACAGACAATAAAATATACAACATTAGCAATAAGACAACACACAATTAAAAACAGTGGGAAGGCCAATGTAAAGTTAAAATGGGGAATAGTGCTGAGGCATGGACGAAAAGGTGATAGTGGCATTTATGGAAGGGCATACGAGCAGACCTAAAAATATAAAGTACTATGGGATCATTATTCCGGGAAGGCACACTGGAACAACCACGTCTTCAAGCTCCTCCTAAAGACTGCCAGAGTTGGGGCCTGTCTGATATCTTTAGGGAGAGAGTTCCAGAGTCGAGGGGCCACCACCGAAAAGGCCCTCTCTCTTGTTCCCACCAATCGTGCCTGCGAGGCTGGTGGGATCGAGGGCAGGGCCTCTCTGGATGATCGAAGGGATCATGTGGGTTCGTATACAGAGTTGCGATCACACAGGTAGGCGGGTCCCAAACCGTTCAGGGCTTTAAAACAATACAATAAATAAAATGAAGAACCATTTTAACAAATATAAACTATCTCTAATCAGATAGGATTGTTGTTGTGTGCTTTCAAGTAATTTCAGACTTAGCTTGACCCTGAGCGAGGGCCAGGTAAATGACCTTGGAGGGCCGCATCCAGCCCCCGGGCCTTACTTTGAGGACCCCTGCTCTAAATAGATGCATCCAATGCTCATAAACCATTGAGCAACCTAGTTAGTGTCATTGATAAGGCAGGAATTAGGGGTATTTGGTATTGCTAGGAGTGGGAGGGCACCCATGGTGGTGTCTTGGTCAGCAATTTGAGTGAAGCCCCCATGGGTTATGGGATTGGCTGACTTGTCCCAATCAATGAAATGAAAAAAACAAACCAACTCATAAACAATACACCATTGTACCACCCTGATAAAACACATTTAGTTGTTCCCTGCAGATCTCATAGCTGCTGAGGAAAAGGCAGTCCAGAAACTCCATGAAAGGGAGCAAGAACTGAATGCAAGTCTCCAAAAGCTGCAGAAAATTGAAGATGAATTGTGTCAGAAAAACGAGAAGGATGCCATACTGAGAACCAGCACCCAATATCCTTCCATGTGTCTGATACCAAATCGAATATTTTCCTGGTGAGAGTTCAGCCTCTGTTTATCCCATCATGGTATTGGGGCTCTTTGGTAACTCTGGGAGGGCAAAGTTTCCATTCCCAAGTGCCATATTGGTAGGGTAGGGATGCTACTACCTGCATCTAGCTGTATAATAAGGTGAATTAGCCTGGAGGCTTTAATAGTTAGTTCACTCAATAGGATTCACTTTTGCCATCCCAAGATTTTCCCCTTTAAATAAGGGCATCCAAGGCGTCTTTCATTTCTATGGTTATTCCAGTAGTTATTAGCCTTTTCAGAACAAGAAAGCAAAACTATTTTAATTGTTTTCACAGGTGCCTGGGCTTCTCTTACTATCCTTCTTTAATAGAAAGGGCTGGATTTCCATGTGAAGCTGATATTTATTTATTTAGAACTTTTATATGCTGTTCTTCTCTACCTCTGTGGAGGGACTCAGAATGGCTAACAGCAAAATCCAATGCTATACAATAAATAGTATCATAAAACAACATACAATAAATAAGTTCTAAAATACATATAAAACTATTTATTTATTTATTTATTTATTTACAGCTTTTATATTCCGCCCTTCTCACCCCGCAGGGGACTCAGGGCGGATTACAGTGTACACATATATGGGAAACATTCAATGCCAATTTTGACATACAACATATACAGACATAGACAGAGGCTATTTAACTTTTTCTGGCCGCCAGGGGAGCTGTCGCTTTCATCGTCCATCTGCAACATTGATGAAGCACTTCCGCATTCCCCGCATGCTTCCCCGCTGGAATGCTTTGCTGGAGTCTTCTTTATGGCCTCATAAATCAGTTAATTTAGCCTCCCCACACTGTAAGGTGGTACCTAATTTTCCTACTTGACAGATGCAACTGTCTTTCGGGTTGCAAAGGTCAACAGGCTACACACAATTGGTTGGAAACCCACTCCAACCCGGGCTGGCTTCGAACTCATGACCTTTTGGTCAGAGTGATCTTAATGCAGCTGACACTCATCACATTAAAACAACATCTAACTCAGTCCAAAATGTCGTGGCCAAATAACTCGTAGTCTGTATCGAATCATCCACCAATCTGCAAATGCCTGACTCCAAAACCAGGATTTTAGTTGCTTCCTGAATGACAGGAGAGAGGGGGCAGACATAATCTCACCGGGGAGAGAGTTCCATAACCGGAGGGCCACTACAGAGAAGGCCCTGTCTCTCATTCCCACCAAACGCCTGCGAAGATGGTGGGACCGAGAGCAAGGCCTCTCCAGAAGATCTTAAAGTCCTCAATGATTTATAGGGGAAGATATGTACTTTGAGCACATAAGGTCCCATGGGATCTTGGAGAGCTTGGCTGGGAAATGCTTCCTTAGACAACAATACTGGCCATGATGGAGCAATTCTTTATACAGATTTTCTTTTTATATAGCAGCTCAAAATATATAAGTATCACTGGCAGTTGGTGACCTTTATGTCAGAGCTAGAGTGAATTTGTTCTGGCATTTATTCAAAGGAACACTCCTTGGTGATCACTCGGATGTTTTGCCATCACTTGTGTGTGTGTGTTCTTTCAATTTCATAGGATTGTTTTAGGCAAATAAAACGCAGGTGGTTTTGCTAGAGTTTATCTCTGAAATATCACCATTTTGTTCCTTCGTCCAAGATCAGATGGCATCTGGCACCTTAAGGCATTTAGGCCAACATACCATCACTTACCCTGAGATAGAACAAAGTCAAACAGATTCTTGAACTTCCACGACTGATTGAGGAGTGGTCTCACCTGTGGCCCTTCCAATCTTGCTAGGCTGCAATTCCCATTAGCTCCTAGTGATGGTGATGGAACTTATAGTCCTACATCAGCTTAGTTGGTCTCAGTTGCCCATCTCTGAATTAATTTTTTTGAAGAATAACAATTTAAACCAGCACTGGCAGTCCCATGTATAACTTGGTGATGTGAGCTTTTTCTAGTTCAATGTATTGTCGAAGGTTTTCATGGCCAGAATCACTGGGTTGTTGTAGGATTTTCTGGGCTATATGGCCATGTTCTAGAGGCATTTTCTCCTGACGTTTCGCCGGTATCTATGGCAAGCATCCTCAGAGGTAGTGAGGTCTGTTGGAAGTAGAAAAATGGGTTTATATATCTGTGGAATGACCAGGGTGGGACAAAGGACTTTTGTCTGCTGGAGCTAGGTGTGAATGTTTCAACTGACTACCTTGATTAGCATTTAATGGCTTGGAAGTGCCTGGGGAAAATCTTTTGTTGAGAGTGATTTGATGTGCCTGATTGTTTACTCTCTGTTGTTTTGCTGTTGTAATTTTAGAGTTTTTTTTAATACTTTTTTTAATACAAAATTTTAATACAGATTTTGTTCATTTTCATGGTTTCTTTCTTTCTGTTGAAATTGTCCACATGCTTGTGGGTTTCAGTGGCTTCTCTGTGTAGTCTGACATGGTGGTTGTTAGAGTGGTCCAGTATTCCTGTGTTCTCAAATGATATGCTGTGTCTAGGTTGGTTCATCAGGTGCTCTGCGATGGCTGACTTCTCTGGTTGAAGTAGTCTGCAGTGCCTTTCATGTTCCTCGATTCGTGTTTTGTGTTAGAAAATTTCGTGTTAGAAAATTCCTTGATTTTCTAGTTTGTTGTAGGTTTTTTCCGGCTATATGGCCATGTTCTAGCGGCATTGTCTCCTGACGTTTTGCCTGCATCTATGGCAAGCATCCTCAGAAGTTGTGACGTCAGAACTTCACAACCTCTGAGGATGCTTGCCATAGATGGCCATATAACCCAATGAAACCTACAACCCAGCGATTCCAACCATGAAAGCCTTCAACAATACATTTTTTCTAGTTCATTTGCTCAATGTGTATGATCAGAGTTTGGAAGAGACTGCAAGGGCCATCATGGTAAGCCCGTCCTGCCATACAGGAACACACAATCAAAGCACTCCTGGCAGTTAGTCATCCAGCCTCTGCTTAAAATCCTCCAGGGAAGGAGACTTCACTACATTCTGAGGCAGAATTTACCACTGCTGAAAAACTCTATCTTGTATTTGGTTTAGGTTTCTAATATTCTGGGTTGGAAAGGGATAGGAAGTACATCAGAAGATGTTTCAGGAGACAGAGACTGTAGAGAAGACCCTCCGGCTACTATTAGTGGTATCTGTACGATCTTGCCTGGGCCTGTCGAAGGGCACAGGATCATGATTGTCCAAAATGCTCTGCCAATTTATTGAAAAACAATACTTTCTGCTGGTTTGCTGGAATCAGCAGCAAAGGTCCTTAACTCACAAGATATACAGAGTTAAGAAAAGAGCTGGAGGCACTGAAAGAAGAAATCAGGCAGCAGGAAAGAGGTGCCGCTGAAAATTTTGAAGCAGCCACAGCAGCCAAGTAAGTAGAGGCCTTCCCTTGCTCTCTCCCCCGACCAACTGGTAGGATGTCGGCAAAGGAAAATTGGCTCTTGCATGATGTAGTCTTTCTCATTTGCATTGAACTTCCTGACTCATTTGCATAGGAGATCATGTTCATGTGAGTCCAGAAGTCACTTTTGGTCCATTTATACTTGCATAAGATGCTAGCTGCTTAACACATAAAGAAGGAGAGAGAAGAGCACCTCTGGGTGAGAATTTTTACAGTGTTTGAGAAAGTTATATTTTTGGACTACCGTTGTTAGACCATTCTAAAGTTAACCCAAAAATTGAACTTTTATAAATGTTTTACTTTTGCTTTCTTTTTAATACTATCAGCTTGCAGCATGGCTAAAAAATGAAGTAATTAGTTAAAAGTTTACACTTCTCTACTAAGAGCTTATCTACATGTTCCATGTACTGTCAATCTAAATTCATATCTGCAATGAGGTGGAAATAGAATCCACTTGCCTTATATGCATATTTCAAGGCTTACCCTGTACACATTTTTTTTGGCTATATAAGAAGGAAGGGCCCCCTGGTGGTGCAGTGGGTTAAACCGCTGAAATGGCTGACCAAAAGCTTGGTTGTTCAAATCCAGGAAGCGGGGTGAGCTCTCGCTGTTAGCTCCAGCTTTTGCCAACCAACATTTTGAAAACATGCAAATGTGAGTAGATCAATAGGTACCGTTTCTGCAGGAAGGTAACGGTGCTCCATGCAGTCAAGGCCAGCCACATGACCTTGGAGGTGTCTACAGACAACGCCAGCTATTATGCTATTATACATTTTCATCCACCTTGTTGAGCCAATTACTCTTTAATCAGCCTGTATTTTGGCCTTCTCCCCTTTAGTTCTTTTGTTGCTTGATGCTTGTCTATTATTGTTATGTTTGTTTTATGCTTTTAAATTGCATTTTGTTATTGATCTGCTTTTAATTGCATGTTTCCTGGGCTTGGCCCAATGTAAGCCACCCCGAGTCCCTTTGGGGAGATGGAGGTGGGGTAGAAAAATAAAATAATTCTTCTCCTCCTCCTCCTTCTTCAGCTCTTTGGCTTTAGACATGGAGATAAGCACTCCCCCCCAAAGAGTCAAACATGAATAGACTTACTGTCAGGGGAAACCTTTATCTTTACCTGTGTAAGAAGGAAAACCAACCAGTCCTCTTTGTCCTGGGAACTTCATATTATAAGAAAGATGGAGAGTACAGGAGAGATACAGTAGTATTTGAGAGGAAATGTTCTTTGCATTTACTTCCTGATCTTTATTTTCTAAAAGCTATGTAGCAGGTATAGCCACTGGGATGTAATGGTTTGAGCATTGTACTATGACTGGTGGCCATGATTCCAGTCCCTGGCAATCCAGAGTGACCTTGGGCATATCTCACTCTCTCAGCCTGAGAGGACAAAGGCATAGGTAAAGCCTCTGAACAAATTTAGCCAAGAAAACCTCATGATAGGATCACTTTAGAGTCGCTGTAAGTCATAAATGACTGAAGGCACAAAACAAGATAAGCTTTTAGGTTAATTTAGAAAAATGTTCCCTTACCTCCTACAACTTCAGCATTTCTGGAAATGCTAGGTCTCTGGGGAAGACAGTGGGAAAAGTTATTTTTTTTCAAGCTCTAGCTCAGGGGTCCTCAAACTAAGGCCCGGGGGCCGGATATAGCCCTCCAAGGTCATTCACCCGGCCCTCACTCAGGGTCAACCTAAGTCTGAAACGACTTGAAAGTACACAACAACAACAACAATCCTATCTCAGCAGTCAAAATCATACCCACACGTCCCATTGAAATACTAATAAGTTTATATTTGTTAAAATTGTTCTTCATTTTAATTGTATTGTTTTAAAGTGTTTTTGCACTACAATGACTGGTAATGAAATGCGGAGGACTTATGGTTTTTATTGTGTCTACTGATGTTAATTGTAATGAATTTTTACCTGTGTTAAATGTTTTTAATGTTTAAATTTAATGTTTAAATTATTTTTGTACTGTTGTGGGCATCGAATTGTGCCGTTTTGTAAACCGCCATGAGTTGCCCTCGGGCTGAGAATGGCGGTATAGAAGTATAGTAAATAAATACAAATAAGATATATGTAGTGTGCATAGAAATCCATTCATATTTTTTTCAAACTATAATCCAGCCCTCCAACAGTTTGAGGGACTGTGACCTGGCCCTCTGTTTAAAAAGTTTGAGGACCCCTGCTCTAGCTTAAGGTGGCCTCATATACTCAATTATGTTTTGCAGGTACCTTGTACAACTTTATTACCAGATTTGCCACATTGACTGGGACTGTTCCTGTGAGCCACACGAGATGAAAGGAAGTATCCTTCCACTATAAGCAAATTGGTATTTCCTGGGAGGGGCATTACATACTATTTTTAATTACCTTAACTGTTCTTTTTCTCTTAGTCCATTTTGGACCTGACATTGCCCAGCATATCAACCTTAACAGCCTCATACACTCCCGCTCCTTTATCAGTAATTTTTTGTGGAGTATGGTGAATACATCCTGGTCAGAGAAGTAGCCCCTGGGCAACAGAAGCAAATACATGGTGGATATCCCTATCAACAGTGATATGTTTTGAGCAGCATCTCCCCCTCCCCTAGCATGTGATTTCTGTACTCTCAAAATGTATATTTAAATAAATAGACTGAAGATAATTTTAGTACTAACCACAAAAAGTGTTTTATTCATATGAGAAGTAATTCCAAAAAACAGTTCTCTGCTGGAAGGCTGCGCCGCCGATGGGTAAGAAATAGAAATCCAATGCAAGGTGAGCCATTTCCTGTGGCTTAATACAAAAGCAGCTTAGTCCAGGACCCAATAGAGCCCTTGACTCTGTGTTGGTCTGTGTTGACTTACCTGCAGGTCATGAGTCCCAGAAGACCAAACCCACAACAGTTCCTGCACCTCCCAGCTTTCTCTGTTATTTTTTCCCCACCTTGACAAATTTCCCAGTGGGGACAGAGTGCAGAAAAAAAAATCGGGCACATCCAAATGGGATTGTTTGTCAAAACAACTTGAAAGGAGCAAGGAATGGTCTATGTAGAAGATACTCCCACCCATCCATGCAAAGAATATTTCTTAAATTATTCCTCACCCACAGGGATTGGAAGAGATGTGTGCAAATGAAGGCTAAATCCTCTTCTGCAGCCCTCATAGGACATGTTTCTTCATGGTTGTTGCCTCATTGCGTAAGTTCAGAACTTGGCTAGGCCAAGTTGGAGAGGCAGTAAAAAATCAGCAATACCTCAAGCATGGAATAGTTGTTCTTTCCCACAGTTAACTCAAAGACAGTTCAGTTCGTTGTCACCCGTGTCCTTGGCACATTTCCTTAATTGCGGCGGAACAGGCCTTGGCCTGTCATAATACTGAATCCTCTCCAATATCTTAAGGAAAACTCAGCTCTTGCTGCCCTCAGCAATGGCACTTCTGCTCATTGGTCTGCTTGCAACAGGGCTCCATGGTGATGGCCACACCCACGCCACTGCGGCCGGACGTCATGCAGGTTACCTCGGTCCAAGTATCGGTGGCAGGGTCATAGCATTCAACGCTGTCTAGGAAGGTCTGGCCATCATAGCCACCTGCAGGGAGAGAAAAAACACAGCTAACACAATGTGGGATTGAAGCCATGCCGTTTCAGCTGGGGTGGAACTGAATCGCAGGTTCTCATGAGTGGGACAGGGCTGGCCCGGTGCTTCTCAAGCTACATATTCATAATTCCTGCATAGCATTGTGAAAGTCCCCCAAAGCCCACTTAGCATTAAGCAGCCACTAGGATTGACGGGCTGCCTGATGTCAATACCTCCATTTCTGTGTTAGTAATCTCTAGCACGAGGGGGATTTGTGACATGAGTTGTTCTAGCTCTCATGCTGAAGATCACTCACAGGAGGAGATAATAACAGAGAGCCATACCTTGATGGATAGGAGAACAGACATTTGTCTATTCCAGCAGCTGCCTACCCGTAAGTAGGGTTTCAGAGACAAAATCCAGTATATAGCACCACGATTATGGTACTACAAAATACATAATGGTCATACAGCAGTGGTTCTCAACCTGTGAGTCCCCAGATGTTTTGGCCTTCAACTCCCAGAAATCCTAACAGCTGGGATGGTAAACTGGCTGGGATTTCTGGGAGTTGTAGGCCAAAACACCTGGGGATCCATAGGTTGAGAACCTCTGTCATACAGGATTCTACCATCACCCAAATGTACCAGGGATAGTCGCCTGTTTGTGCCCAGTGACTACAATGTTTCTTTCCTGGAATCATGGTTGGGACCACTACTTTGAGCAGCACTGAGCTAGATCACACTATAATGTCTCATCATCCTCTGGGTGTAGTTGGTCCATGAATTTATTTTTTACAAACTAGCCTGAGGAGTTTGTAAACACATCTTGTGATGTGCAGGGCTTGACAAATCCAAAGCTGGCGATAAAATTGCTGGTAAAAATTAACAACCTTAGATATGCAGATGATAACACTTTGATGGCTGAAAGTGAAGAGGAGCTGAGGAGCCTTATAACCAAGGTGGAAGAAGAGAATGCAAAAGATGAATTGCAGTTAAACAAAAAAAAAAAACAAAAAACTAAGATGATGGCAACCAGACTGATTGATAACTGGCAAATAGAGGGAGAAAACATGGAGGCAGTGATAGACTGGATTTCTAGGTGCAAAGATTACTGCAGACATGGACTGCACCAGGGAATCGGAATACGTTTACTTCTTGGGAGAAGGGCAATGACGAATCTTGATAAAATAGTGAAGAGTAGAGACATCACACTGACAACGAAGATCCACATAGTTAAAGAAGTGGTATTCCCCATAAGTAACCTATGGATGCGAGAGCTGGACCATAAGGTTGGCTGAGCAAAGGAAGATAGACACTTTTGAACTGTGGTGCTAGAGGAAAATTCTGAGAGTGCCTTGGACCAGAAGAAGATCCAACCAGTCCATACTCCAGGAAATAAAGCCTGGCTGCTCATTGAAGGGAAGGATGTTAGAGGCAAAGATGAAGTACTTTGGCCACATATAAGACAGGAAAGCTTGGAGGAGACAATGATGCTGGGGGAAAAGGAAGATGGGCCAACCAAGGGCAAGATGGATGGATGGTACCCTTGAAGTGACTGGTTCGACCTTGAAGGAGCTGGGGTGGTAATGGCCGACAGGGAGCTCTGGCGTGGGCTGGTCCATGAGGTCACAAAGGGTTGGAAGCAACTGAACAAATAAACAACAAGCCAGAGGAGAAAACAAAAATAGTGTTGGATTGGATCAAACCAAAGACCCATCTAGTAGTCTAGTGTATTGATAAAGTGGCCCGCCAGAGATTTCAGGGAAACTCACCAAGATACAAAAGCAGCAGCAGATGCCCCTCTCACTGCCTCTGGTATTAGCGGTAAGTGACCATGGCTAAGTTTAGATACCATTGATAGGTTTAGATTCCATAAAGACATACAGCCTGGCATCCTATCAGTGACTTACCTGTCTAGTTAGTATAGCTAAAATCTGCTTAAGCCCAGGGTGCAGAAAGCTATTCACTTGCTCTATAGCTGGGGTGGGGGTGGCACAGGGGTGATTCAGACGACGAACATTAATCTGAGCTCTTTGGGAGGAAAAAGTTTGGTGTACGCTATTTGAGAGCACACACTTGATTCTTCCCCACATGACCTAGTTGAGACCAGCTGCTTCTCCATCGACTGACCGCCACTGGACATGACAGTATCAAGAACAGCTTTCAGAGTTTGATGTCTTCCAAGCAGAGGGAGGATTGAACTGAATGTGGAGCTGTGAGCTGATGCAGGATGTTAGCCGCAGATACTACTTTCACCTTAGATCACTCAAATAGGAAGCATCTGGCTATCGTTAAACCATTCCATCCGGATTCAGGATTACTTGTACCAGAGAGCAGCAACTCCGGCCCTCTTAACTCACATCAATCCTTGCTGGCAAAGATGATCCTATATTGCTCTTTGTAATGCCATTCTATGACAGTTGCAGATCAATACATCTGGAGAACACTAGATTTGGGAAGGCTGTTCCCTTGTCATCTAGTTTTATTCCTCAACTAGGCATGTAGGTCATCTGGTCTGGGTTTTTTTTTTCCTGTGTCAGGAGCAACTTGAGAAACTGCAAGTCTCTTCTCGTGTGTGAGAATTGGTCATCTGTAAGGACGTTGCCCAGGGGACGGCCGAATGTTTTACCATCCTGTGGGAGGCTTCTCTCATGAGAAGCTGGAGCTGACAGATGGGAGCTCATCCCGCTCCCTGGATTCAAACCTCCGACCTTTTGTTCAGCAGTACTGCCAGCACAAGGGTTTATCCCATTGCGCCACCGGAGGCTCCTATCTGGTCTGGTACCCCAGGGGGCAACTGACTCCTAGCAAGCTCAACATAACAAGTTAGGTGCCCCTCCCCCCCCAGCTCTTTTCCCTACTTGACAAACAGCTTGATCCACCTATGATTATTTGCCAAGGATTAACTCACACCTGAGGTTGCGGCTCAGACAGATGAATCATGATAACACTTTGACTCATTGCACTTCTTTTGTGCAATGAGAGCAAAGATTAGGTTTTCAGGTGGAAACAAGAGGAGCCATCTGTCACATGTTCAGTGAGCACCTAAGATGTAAACAACTCTGGTCACTGGTCTTAGATGAAAGCGTTGCTACATGGCCCTTTCTTGAGCAATTAATTTTTCAGAAAAATTGGATGCATTGTGCAAGTTTCATTGCGTTTTTTCCCATTTAGCTCCTATATAGTATCAACATCTACAATAGTGTTGGTGCCACTGATCAATTGTCTCAGTCAACACTACGAAGTTTTTCTGCCAATTGAGACACAAAGTTATCACTCCATATTGCATCAGTGTTCAGAAATAACTTTGTATTTTGTGTCTGGGACTTGCTAATAAACATTTTGTAAAATACTCAAAAAGATTTTATCCTAAAATATTAATATAAGAAAATAGCAGCTCTTCCAAGTATGCTACAAGTAAGCCCGTTGAGAGATATTTTTTTTTTCATTCAGAACATTATTTGGCAGAGCAAGTGAACTGGATGGTGAAGTTAAGAAAGAATTGTTCATGGAGAGGTTGCCCCAATGACACATCTGTTTGCTTTAACCAAATCTCTTCCTGCACATCTTCTATCTATATAAATAAAAATGTAATGTTAGGTTGTAGGATTAACATAACTCAAAAACCATTGGACGAATTGACACCAAATTTGGACACAATACACCCATCAGGAGTATCATCAAAAGGTGAGACTTCCACCTTGGTCCATATATCAAACGGACAATGTATTGGGAATCTCACATCAGAACAACATATTTTATGTGTGGCCAAGACCCAAAAATAACATATAAAACAGCTCTGTACTTAAGCAAAACAATACGTCTGAGAACCACATATGTAGGGCTGATTGGGGTAAATTGTAGGGGTGATAATGAAATATGATGTATATACTCAGCTTGATCAGTTTATCAGTTTTATCATGTCTTATATTTATTTACTGTACTGTTATAAGTGTCTTATTTTAACTTACTACGTGGAGTGTGATCAGGTCTTGTCAGGCCTTGTTCTGTTTCTTATTGTGATATGGCTTAAGGCAGTGGTTCTCAACCTGGGGTCCCCAGATGTGTTTGGCCTACAACTCCCAGAAATCCCAGCCAGTTTACAAGCTGTTAGGATTTCTGGGAGTTGAAGGCCAAAAATATCTGGGGACCCCAGGTTGAGAACCACTGGCCTAAGGGCTAATCAATAAAATTACTACTACTACCTATCAGGCCAATGAGTGACTATCACACATAAAAACACTGAAAAACACAGCGAAAGAGACTTAAAAAGCAAAAAAACCTCAAAAAAACCCATTACAACGCATGTGCAAAACCACATATATATATACGCAAACACATACACACACACAAAGAACATATATACAGACTGGGCCACAGCAATGTGTGGCAAGGGATGGCTAGTCTGTATATAAATAAAAATGTAATGTTCGTTTGCGGGATTAACATAACTCAAAAACCACTGGACGAATTGACACCAAATTTGGACACAAGACACCTATCAGGCCAATGAGTGACCATCACTCATAAAAACACTGAAAAAAATAGAAGAAACTTAAAAAGCAAAAATAAAAAATTACAACGCATGTGCAAAACCACATATATATACACACAAACACACATATATACACACACCAAGAACGTATATACAGACTGGGCCACAGCAACACGTGGCAAGGGACAGCTAGTATACAAATAACAGGAGTAGAGACAGGCAGGAAAACAGGTATCGAAATAAAGCTTGGTTGTCACATTTTCCTCTTAAAATCCAAGTTTTGAACAAAACATGCAATTTTTTGGAGCATCACATGGGAACTTTTTAGATGACAGTTCTCAACATCCCTCAATCAGCATGGTCACCATTCCTCTTTGAAGCATTTGCTTTTTACTTTGACCAAGCTTACCCAGCACGTAAATCTTGCCCTGGTGCACAGTGACCCCAAGGGCACTCCGACGGTGCTTCATGGGTGCGGCGAAGGACCAGGTTCTTGTCTCCACGTCATAACGCTCCATGCTGTTGAGTTGGTCTGTACCGTCATAGCCCCCCATGGCATAGATGCAGTTATTCAGGGCACAAACCCCTGCATTGGAACAGAGCAGCATTGAGCAGACCAAACAGACAGTGACCCTCCTATTAGTCCCTTTACCATACCAAGTGTGGATACTCCACAATAATTTCTGTGACACTTTTCAAGCTTTAACTTAGAAGCAGGAACCCTGTTGACCTCCACATGTTACTGGGCTTCTTTATCATTTCAGACCACTGGCTCTACTGGCTGGGGCCAATGGTAACTGGAGTCGCAACCTCATAGAGAAGTCTACACTTTCCTCATACCTGTCTTTCATGTACTTCCTGAGTATAATCTAAACTACCAGCCAGTATGGTCAATAGTAAGACGACTTTGTCTTACTATATACACACACACATAAACACAATGTATATATACATCCCTATATGAGAGGCCAGGGGACAGCTCCACCTTGTCTCCTGCAATATGTCATCAGATGGGGACCCCGCCCCACCACCAACTGCCGCTCTGGGCCAGAGTAAAGGGAGGCGGGGCCAGGGGACAGTTCTACCTTGTCTCCTGTGCTATGGAAAGTTACACCCTTGATCATTTTAGTCACCCTCCTTTGGACACATTCCAGCTTGTCAATATCTTGAATTGTGGTGCCCAGAATTGGATACAATATTCCAGGTGTGGTCTAACCAAGGCAGATGCATAATTTTAATACTGATATTGTAATATGCTAATAATATATTGTATGTATATATATTGTAAGCCGCTCTGAGTCCCCTTCGGGGTGAGAAGGGCGGCATATAAATGTCGTAAATAAATAAATAAATAAATAAATAAATATGCGTTGCAAATGACATATGTAACCAAAGATACATAATAGTTTCAAATGAACTGAAAGGCTTTTACAGAGAATGGTCTTATAACTTAAGTTTCTTAAAACAAAGTTCCATACACAGGAATACAAAGAGGGTATTTTGGACCTTTTGAATCTTCCTTCCACACCACCACTCTAATCACTATAGAGGCCTACTATATTTCTTCTCCTTCTCCCTGAAGGCTTTAACTATTGTCCTCAAAGAAGTATCTTTCATATAACCGTTCCCAAAACTCTTCCTTTCTTCCCCTTCAAAACTCCTAACTAACTTCTTCAAACACCAAACTCCCAGCTGACTAAACTATGGCTGTCTTTGCTCCTTCCTTTCACTCTGGCTCTGCCAGAGTGCTAAGCAACTCCCTCCAACTCCATCAGCCAATCAGGCTGCACTTTCAACTACGACTGATTACTCGACCCCCCCCCCCCCCCCCCCCGTTCTCCTTAGTTTTTCCAAGCCAGACAAGGTAGGCCAATCTATTACACCCAGCTTCTGCCAACCTAGCAATTTGAAAACATGCAAATTTGAGTAAATCAATAGGTACCGCTTTGGTGGGAAAGTAACAGCGCACCATGCAGTCATGCCGACCACATATCCTTGGAGGCGTCTATGGACAATGTCAGCTCTTTGGCTTAGAAATGAACAGCACCCCCCAGAGTCAGACTCGACTAGACAATAACAGGGGATACCTTTACTATAATGTAGTCTTTCAAGTTGTTTTAACTTCAATATGTTTTACCACATTTAAACAATCTGAAATTGTCTTCAATCACCTTATCCTATTTTATTTACATGTGCCTTGAGGTCTCATGACAAAGGGAGGGTTTATAAAGCTGACACAGGGAGGGAGAAGACAGACACTCCAGACAGGTGAAGTGCTCTCTATGTTCACTTTGCAACCAGAAGAGACAGTAACCACAATGAAGCTTCTTGAATGCAATCACAAGCCCCTTCTTGCCGCCCTGCACAAACCTGCTCCACTCCGGATGGTGTTCATCGGGGCAATCATCTCCCATTCATCCCGTTCAGGGTAGTAGCATTCCACTGAGCTGTGGCGGGAAGTGCCATCATAGCCACCCACTGCGTACAAGAGCCGGTTCAGCACTGCCACCCCAACTCCAATCCGTTGTGTAAGCATGGGTGCCACTAAGATCCATTCATCCTGCTCTGGTTCGTACCTGGAAGAAGAGAAGGGCAATCACTTCAGTGCCGCTTGATACCCCACCCCGCCCTCCCAAACACATAACATGAAAAGTCAGGCTACTGGAGGCATACACAACTGGGAGGATGTCAGTGGTAATACAGAACCAGATCTGTCACTAGAAATATGAATTTAATATGATGTGTGGGAATGAATGGAAGAATGGAAGGATGTGTAGTTGGAGTTAATAATTTTGGAAACACCAGTATAATATTAAGGCCTGCAATGACTAACTACCTGCTTGCTGGAACTGTGATCAAAACCTGCTAATGAGAATTGATAAGAACTGTGACAATGGTTCTTTCAAGTTAAGGAAATGTTTGCAACATTCCTTATGTTAAGAAGGAAGTCAACATAAGATCAACACCAATCAAGAAGATCAACATCTGGCCAGGAAACTGAGATGGATCCAGGATGGAAGATGTCTATCATTAATTTACAACTTTGGGACTACATCAACAGAATATTCCTATAAAAGACTCAGTCTAATAATGCTCAAAGTGTGACAGACCTGAGGAGTCTGTTTCACCCACTATGCTCTGCTCCATGGGAAGGAGAGAGATAGTGTACTATAGAGTGACAGATCTGCAAGGGAGCAGTCTGGTCACTGAAGGAGGAGCCTGGGAGAATGGCAGAATTTACAGTAACTCACTTTAAGTGCCCTCTCAACTAGAAGAGTATCCATTTTAATTACTTCTAAATACCAAGAAAGAAGTTACTCTGGCAAAACTGTAGCTAGGGATGTGAAATTGTAACCATTTCTTCTCTAAAGCTTTCCAAACTTCCAAACAGAAGGACATCATAGAATCATAGAGTTGGAAGAGACCTTGTGGGCCATCCAGTCCAACCCCCTGCCAAGAAGCAGGAAAATCGCATTCAAAACACCCCCAACAGATGGCCATCCAGCCTCCAAAGAAGGAGCCTCCACCACACTTCAAGGCAGAGAGTTCCACTGCTGAACAGCCCTCACAATTAGGAAGTTCTTCCTAATATGTTCAGGTGGAATCTCCTTTCTTGTAGTTTGAAACCATTGTTCTGCATCCAAGTCTCCAGGGAAGCAGAAAACAAGCTTGCTCCCTCCTTCAGGACTGTTCTATTATTTTTACCAGTAGTTTCTAAACAAATCAATTTTCTTCCATTTTTTATCAGCAGCTCCCAAACCATTCCCATCCCTACTTGGCTTCTCTTACTCAGCACTACTAGTATTCCTAACTTTATTTATTTATTATTTATTTATTTATTTATTTATTTCGGTTGCTTCTACCCCGCCCTTCTCACCCCGGGGGGACTCAGGGCGGCTTACAAAAGCAAGGCACAATTCGATGCCCGCATCACATAACATCAATTAATAACAACAACTTATAGCTTTTAAAGAGAGCATTGTCTATGCTGCATTCACAATAAGGCCATCATTTTTTACTGTCTATGTCAATGACACAAATTGATGCAGTCCTGAAAATAAATCTGTCGTCTGTCCTGAGAATACCTTCAGGGATAGCTCCTAATTAACATACCGTATATTCCGGCATATAAGACGACTGGGCGTATAAGACGACCCCCAACTTTTCCAGTTAAAATATAGAGTTTGGGATATACTTGCCGTATAAGACTACCCCTCTTCCAACACACACCAAATAAAAATTTTAAAAGCATCAGATTTGATTTCAATATGGTAATTTTCCTATTACTGTACCTTCTTCTCTGCCTCTCAGATCTCGCACATGCGCACCTGCAGTACTTCAGTCTTCAGGAGCGAGATTTGAGAGGTAGAGGAGGAGGTACGGTAATAGGATACAAGGGCGGGCCAGACAGGTAAAAGAGGTGTGTTTTTCTGGGCCCAGAGCCACTCTATCTCTTTTTTCCATACCCCGGGTGCCCCGGACACTGCAGCTTGCTCCGCCCTTCACTTACACCTTCCCAGTGAGGCACCCCTTCACCTCACCATCGGGACTGCATAAGTCCATGAATCCTGATGAATGGATTTTCTTCTACTGTACTTGTACAGCGTCGCCCTTAATGCTTTCATACAGTCGCTGCATACGGCAGGGACATGGCCACTGCCATGTTTGAGCTCCCCCACAATATGCAACAACCACAGATTCTCCAATCCGGATTGGAAGTTTCAGCATCCACTCTATAAGACACTCTGGGTGTATAAGACTACTCCCGCATATAATATGACTCCCATGCATAAGGCGTCCCCAGCATATAAGACGACCCCTGATTTTTGAGAAAATTTTCTTGGGTTAAAAAGTAGTCTTATACGCCAGAATATACGGTAATCAGTTGTGGCTACTGTAGCCATAAACTTTTGCCTACACCAAGCCCAAACTATGCATATTTTAACCGAATCACTGTAAAGCCTGAGACAAAACCTTGTACAACTTAACCTTTACAGCTTCTTGCAAAAGAAGAGGAAGTATCTTAAGGAAGCAGTCTTGTCTTGAGTACTTATTAAAAGTGTAAGAGTCACAAATTAACAAGGCCTTTTGGGGATGGATAATGTTTCTTATTAACTCAGCATAATTCTCGTTTCTATATGGATGCCAAACCTGCTAGGATTTTAACACAATTGTTCACCAACACACATGGACCATAACAGGGCAGAATATATCAATGGAAGTCAGAAAGCATCGCCTCCTTCCCAGGTTTAATACCATATCTGACTATATCAACCTCTTTCCCAGTTCCTTCCTCATTCACCTTTCCACGCTGTTGTGATGATTGCTCCCAAAAGAGCCGCCCACTGCATAGATCATGCCATCGATCACCCCCACACCAATGCGGTTTCGGGGGACGCTCATCGGGGTACAAGGAGACCACCTGTTGGTCATGGGGTTATAGCAGTCAATAGCATTGGAGTCCATGTTGCCGTCGGGAGAGTTGTTCCTCCCGCCCACTGCGTAGAAGAGCCCGCTTACCACGCAGCCGGCCAGGCCACTGCGGGGCACCTGTAGGTCAGCCAGCCGGATCCAGGAACCATCGCAAGGGTTGTAGGCCTCCAGGTAGCTGAGGGACTGGCGGTAGTAGCCGCCGGCTGTGTAGATGAGCTGGCCCACTTTAGGTGCCCGGCAAGGCATGTCGTTGGTGGGCTTGTGTAAGGTGAGGTCCTGGAAAATCTTGGACAGGTAGTCCTTGCAGCGTGAGTCCGACTTGAGGATTTCACACTTCTGAAGCTGCATTTGGAGGAAGTGTGGGGGGTCAGTGAATGGCAGCGCACGGCTTTGAGCAGGGCCTGGATGTAGAGTCGGCGGTTCTCACAGTCATACTTCACCCAGTTGATGCAGGCATGGAACACCTCCGACTCACAGCGTACGTTCAACTCGTCCCGGCTGATCAGGGTCACCAGCTGGCAATGTGAGAGGTTGAAGAACTCATCCTGCTTAGACACCTGCAAAGGGGGCAATGGAGGGTAGTATGATGAGTGGCCCAGCTTACTTGTCCAAACGCATCCACCCTTCCGTCCCACTTCGTAATCTAAGATCATCCGGCCCTGCTCTCGCTCCCGTCAACAGCACAGATGCACCTGGTGGGGACGAGAGACAGGGCCTTCTCGGCTGTGGCCCCCCGCCTATGGAACACACTCCCAAATGAGGTAAGATCCTCACCTCCTGACTTTTAGAAAAAAAAAATTAAAATCATGGTTCTGGGACCAGGCCTTTGGACAGTAGAAGTATGTAGCATTTTAGAGGGACACTGATTGGAATGGCGATTTGACTGACAATACTGTTTTATTGTTTTAATGCTTGTTGATGTATTGTTTTAATTATGATTTATGTTTAATTGTGGTTTTACTATTGTAATTGTTTGTATTGGCATCGTATCGGTGCCCAATGTAAGGCATTGAATTTTGCCATTATTTATGTGTAAACCGCTTTGAGTCCCCCCAGGGGTGAGAAAGGTGGTATATAAATACTGTAAATAAATAGATAGATGATAGATAGATAGATAGATAGATAGATAGATAGATAGATAGATAGGCTCGAGCTGTTGTGGGGGATGACAAAGAGGAAAAGTTCTCAAAGAACCACTTGAAGAATGTCCCAGGCATCCAGACGCTATCTCGTCTGTTTACCTGGAGAACCTCTTGATAAGGGGCAGGGAGGGAGAAGTGGGTTGCAGTGTTTTGAGACTAAGTTGAGAAAGTATGTTTGACTTGCATGACAAGAGATTTCTATAGATTTCTAGCTGGCGGGGATTTGACAGCATACCAGAGTGTGTTGGCTAATCACTTTGGCATGTACCTGTGCTCTGTTCACCATACCAGTGAGAATCATGATCCTCCAGATCTTGTTGGATCACAACTCCTAGCTATGCTAGCCATCCTAGCAATAGTGAGGCATTTCTAGTCCCCATGCCAGCCAAATGCACTCCAAACTGGCTGCATATGTGGTGATTTATTTCCACCACCAATTAAGGGCTTTCCAATACCCCACTAAAAGTTATCTAAATGGTGGCCAGAATTTATGTGACATCACTGATGGCAAAATGAAGCATGGCAACAGTCTTCTGGGGAGAAAAATGGCCCTCACTCTCTCTGCCGTTTGCCACACCTGCTTCAAAACACAAAAATCACGTTCCTTGCTTCTAACTTGAATCATGCCCCTGGAAAGGTGATGGGTTAGCCGCCCTGAGTCCCCCTTCGGGGGTTGAGAAGGGCCGGGTACAAATGTTGGAAAAAATAAATAAATAAATAGTGGGTTTTTAACAATCAACATACGCAGGTGAAGGGGAGGTTCTCATGCTACACTATTCAATATTTGGCTGCTGTAGTATTAGCATTAATTGGGGGTGGGGGTCACTCCTGGAATGTCACTTCATGGAATCAGAAAGGCAGTGCAATCCCTCCCACCTTTGGGTATTGATTTATTAATGTATTTATGAAAATATGAGTCATTCTTTATTAGCAGTTGTTAGGACAGGGTACAACAAAACAAAGTGTCTTCAAACAATATAAAATATTAATTCAAATATTTTAAAACAAATTAAAGGAGGTGGTGGAGGAGGCGGTGGTGGAGGAGGCCGTAGTGGTGGAGGAGGTGGGGAGGAGGTGGTGGTGGAGGAGGAGGGGGGGGTGGTGGAGGAGGAGGTGGTGGTGGAGGATGAGGTGGTGGTGGAGGAGGAGTAGTGGTGGTGGAGGAGGTGGTGGTGGAAAAGGTGTAGAAGGAGGTGGAGGAAAAGGTGGAGAAGGAAGTGGAGGAGGTGGTGGTGGTGGAGGAGGAGGTGGTGGTGGAGGAGGAGGAGGTGGTGGTGGAGGAGGGGGTGGTGGAGGAGGTGGTGGTGGAGGAGGGGGTGGTGGAGGAGGTGGTGGTGGAGTTGAGAAAAAATTAAAAATGATTTGATATATTTTAAAACTTAACAACATGCATTCAGTAATAGACTGAATACTACACCAAGCTCCAAATGCTTGCGTAAACATGGCACTAGAATAAGGATGGTATTGGCAACACTCAGGCTTTCAAGGGGAGGATGTGCCAGTTCCTGGGCTTTCACCCACATCTGGGGCAGTCATCTTTGATACGCACACCCTCCCAACCCTGACTTGTCAAGTTGAGACTCACCTCCCCAAAATGCATGTAGATGTACTCTCGCGCCCGCTGGTGCAGTTCGGTGCAGCCAATTTGCTCAGCAAAGTTGGCAATGCCAATGGCATTGCTGGGGTCCAGTTGCTGCACCAGGAAGTCACAACAGGCTTTGACCACACTGTCAATCTGGTACATGACAGCCCCGTTCATGACATGGATCACACAGTGCTCGCCCACAGAGATGGAGGCGGTGTAGGCAAACTCAATGAGGCGCTCCATGACTTTGGGGTGGATGCCCTCAATGGAAACTACCTCCATGCCCTGCTCCCGGAGACCATTTGTGAACATGGCCTTGAAGACAGGGCTGGAGGAGGCCAACACCACCTTGTGGGCCTGGAAGTCAGCCGGGGGAGTGTCTTTGTACTTGACCCGCAAGGTGACATCACAAAGCTGCTGGCTCAGGCGCAGTTGGTTCATGATGCCAAAGGCCTGCTTGGTGTGGTCCTCTAGCGTGTAGCTGAAGGTGCGGTTGCCATCGTGTGAGGGAGTCACCTCCGCCTTGCACTCTGGGGCGTACATCACAAAAGAGGCCCCACACTCATTGCACAAAGGAAGAGAGGGGATGAAAAGCAAGCAAGGAGCTGGAAGAACCAAGCTAGGCTGGAGGGCTGACTGCACAGCTCTGACGCACGACAAAAACTCCACACCTACAGATGAGACAGAGAAGCAAGAAATCTAGTTAGGACAATTTTGTGGGGGGAAACATTTCACTTTCAAGCCATGGTGCTGCTGTTGCCAATCCTGCCTTGAGTGGCTAGCCCCTACTTCCCATCCATTGGATTTATAACACTATGTAACAAAGTTTGAAAAAAATCTGTTCCTGGTTTGAAAGTGTTATTTCCTGTTTAATTGTGTGGCTCTTACTATGAAAGTAATTGTTATACTCCAGAACCTTCATTTAAGGAGGTATATATGTTATTATCATTTCTGGACTGTATTGTAGGGCTTGGCCTCATGTAAGCCACCCCGAGGAGATGGTTGCGGGGTATAAATTATTTGAAACACAACAAGATGAGTCCACAGCAGACAAGATCACTCTGCTGGCTGTTGTATTGGATCACACGTCGGACACTTCCCAAGTGTCTAGGACTGTGTGATGTATCGGCGAATGATGCATGCAGATCCCAGTAAGGTGGCCTTCTGTAGCTGACAGGTGGTAATTTTATCAGTGCCAATTGTGTTTAAGTGCAGACCAAGGTCTGTAGGCACTGCACCCAGTGTGCTGGCCGATCACCACTGGGACCACCTTTACTGGCTTGTGCCAGAGTCTTTGCAGTTCAATCTTTAAATCCTCATATCGTGTCAGCTTTTCCAGTTGTTTCTCTTCAATCCTGCTGTCACCTGGGATTGCAACATCGACAATCCATACTTTGTTTTTTAACACAATTGTGAGGTCAGGAGAATTGTGCTCTAGAACTTTGTCTGTCTGAATTCAAAGTCCCAGAGGAGTTTGACGTGTTTATTTTCTGTAACTTTTTCCGGCTTGTGATCCCTCCAGTTCTTTGTCGCAGGCAGATGGTATTTGTGGCATTATTATTATTATTATTATTATTATTATTATTATTATTATATGTAAATGCTTACTCTGAGTGCTCTATCACATTCTGAAACTACAAATCCCTGGATTCTACAGGAGATAGCTAAAGTAGGATCATAGTGCTATAACAGTGTTATAAATGTCCCACCTGTACTCTTAAGAGTCTACTAGAGGTGGCAAGCGCTTGCTCCTAAGTCCCCATCGACACTGATTTAATGCTGTTTCAAACTGGTATTATAGAAAATGCTTTCACATTCATTTAAAAGTCGTTATTTCAGATTTCTGTACCCACAAACACAGAATTCTGCCTTTACAAACGATATATTTATATCATTATAGTATAGTGTATTATAATATATCTTTACTAATAATATAATATAGTATATCGTATATACATGTAATATTTATAATATTATAATGTAATACAATATAATACTAATAATAATAATAATAATAATAATAATTTACTAGCTGTCCCCTGCCACGCGTTGCTGTGGCCCAGTCTGTTGATCTGGAAAATAAAGTAATGAGAAAGTGTTGGTTTTTAATATATGTAATTTCTTTATGCTTGTGGGTAAACAGTATTTCTTGTTGTTCTTTGTCAGTGTTGATGTGGAGAGTGTCTGGTTTGCCCACCCCTAGAACATGTAACATTGTCCTTCTTTAAGGGTCCCTTTCAAATCTATGATACTTTATCTGTGTGTGTGTAAATCATATCTATCTATCTGTCTGTCTGTCTGTCTGTCTGTCTGTCTATCTATCTATCTATCTATCTATGGTTGGATGGCTCTTTGTCAGGAGGGCTTTGATTACATTTTCTTGCCCTGATGAGGGGAGTTGGACTGGATGGCCTTGAGTATTTTCTGTTGGTCATGGGGGTTCTGTGTGGCAAGTTTGTCGTTTGTGGGGTTCAGAATGCTCTTTGATTGTAGGTGAACTGCGAATCCCAGTGACTACAACTCCCAAATGTCAAGGTCTATTTCCCCCAAACTCCATCTGTGTTCATATTTGGGCATATTGAGTGCTTGTGCCAAGTTTGGTCCAGATCCATCATTGTTTGAATCCACAGTGCTCTCTGGATGTAGGTGAACTACAACTCCCAAACTCAAGGTCAATGCACACCAAACCCTTCCAGTATTTTCTGTTGGTCATGGGGAGTTCTGTGTGCCAAGTTTGGTTCAATTCCAGCATTGGTGGAGTTCAGAATGCTCTTTGATTGTAGGTGAGCTATAAATCCCAGCAACTACAACTCCCAAATGACAAAATCATAATTTTTTTAGTGATGGTCACTCCTTGTGTTGTGAGACGTTTTGTTGCCAAATTTGGTGTGATTTCGTTCATTGGTTCTTTTGTTTTTAAGGTACTCATTATGCACAAAGCATTTTTATATAGAGAGATATTTACATTACATGTAATATTACTAATAATATTACAATATAATGGTATAGTGCAATACAGTAATATATAATACTGATATTGTACTATGCTAATAATATAATATATTGTATGAAAATATATATTGTAAGCCGCTCTAAGTCCCCTTCGGGGTGGGAAAGGTGGCATATAAATGCCGTAAATAAATAAATAAATAAATAAATAAATAAATAAATATATACACAAAAGCAGACTGTGGTTGAGGAACTACATTGCATGCAGGCTTCCTTGGCACACTGTTATCAGTGGAAGTATACTTTTCCACAGATAATGACAGTCAACCCACCGTACTCGCAGATTCAACCATGGATGTCTTGAAAATATTTTTTAAATTCCAAACTGCAAACTTTGATTTTGCCATTTTTAATGCAACATGCTATTTTATGCTGCCATTGTATATAGTGGGACTTGAGAATCCATGAATTCTGGTATGCAGAGAAGGTCCTGGAACCAAACTTGAGCAGATACCAAGGGCCCACTGTTATTGCTACATGTTTTTTTTCCCCTTGGGTTAGCAAATAGTCCAGGTCTGTCCTTGGTGCCTCCTGGAAAGGCCTGTGCTACTGAGGGTCACTCTGGTCATTCAAGGATGTCTTATATGTATTCACTGTGACTCAGCAAGTCAAGCAAACAATTGTATGCCAGGAAACACTTTTAAGAGCAGCCTTTTGTTTCACCCAGGTCTGCCCAGTCATCCCAGGCCCCCTGAGCATTGTTTTTGCTATCAGTACCACTGCCATCAATACTGCATTGTGGTTAATATTTAAATCCACATTTCACACAGCTCTGATTGTGTGAACCTGCTATTCAGACTTAGCAAGCCAATCGACCTGTGTTATAAAAATACGGGTTTGCCAGCATGCCAGGGGCTGTAGAGTACCTAGCCAAAAAGATCTGACTTTTAACAGCATCCTCTTCTTCTGTTTGTAATAGGTTAATGTTAATTGGTCTTAATGATCTGGGCAATTTAATTGCATTTTAATATGTTCTGTATGTTTTTATGTATGACTTTGTATGTATTTGACATTTATAAATTGACTGATTCCTAGTTCTGGGGGGAAAGCTAGGTATAATAGGTAAGTCAACGCTCTGATCTACTTTGCCCAGGAATAATGAGTCCCTCTGCGGAGGTTGAGATAGGATGGGATATAAAAGCCCTAAATAAATAAATAAATATTATTAATAATAATGAATAATAATCATAATATGTTATATTATTATATTTTTATTTTCTTATATATTATTATAATATTTTATTATAACTATATTATAATTATTATATCTTATATTATCCTATTCTACTATAGTATAATGTTACTATCATTATGTTTATATATATTATGTTCTTTACTAATAATATAATATATTATATATACATATAATATTTATATTATAATAAAATACAATACTAATAATAATACATTATGATTATATATTTTATATTACATGTAATATTACTAATAATATTACAATATAATAATAATAATCTATATAAATAAAAATGTAATGTTCGTTTGTGATACCATCAGAACTCAAAAACCACTGGGGGAATTGACACCAAATTTGGACACAAGACACCTAACAAGCCAATTTATGTCCTCCACTCAAAAAAATTGATTTTGTCATTTGGGAGTTGTGGTTGCTGGGATTTATAGTTCACCTATAATCAAAGAGCATTCTGAACTCCACCAACGATGGAATTGAACTAAACTTGGCACACAGGCCTCCCATGACCAACAGAAAATACTAGCAGCATTTGGTGGGCATTGACCTTGAGTTTGGGAGTTGTAGTTCACCTACATCCAGAGAGCACTGTGGACTCAAACAATGATGGATCTGGACCAAACTTGGCATGAATATTCAATATGCCCAAATGTGAACACTGGTGGAGTTTGGGAAATATATGGCATTTGGGAGTTGTAGTTACTGGGATTTATAGTTCACCTACAATCAAACACCATTCTGAATGAACCCCACGAATGACAGAACTGGGGCAAACTTCCCACACAGAACCCCCATGACCAAGAGAATATACTTAAGGCCATCCAGTCCAACTCCCTTCAGCAGGGCAAGAAAACGTAATCAAAGCCCTCCTGACAGAGAGCCATCCAGCCATAGATATAGATAGATATATATGATTCACACACACAGAGATATAGTATCATAGATTTGAAAGGGACCCCTAAAGAAGGACAATATGTTGCATGAGTAGGCAAACCAGACAATCTCTACATCAACACTGACAAAGAAACATCAAGAAATACTGTTTACCCACAAGCATAAAGACATTACATATATTAGAAACCAGCACTTTCTAATTCCTTTATTTTCCAGATCAACAGACTGGGCCACAGCAACGCGTGGCAGGGGATGGCTAGTTATTATAATATTTATATTATAACTATATTATAATTATTATATTTTATATTATCCTACCATATTATAATGTTACTATCATTATGTTTATGTATATTATGTTCTTTACTAATAATATAATATAATATATTGTATATATGTATAATATTTATATTATAATAAAATACAATACTAATCATAATACATTATAATTATATATTTTATATTACATGTAATATTGCTAATAATATTACAATATAATGATGTAGCACAATATAATAATATATAATACTGATATTGTATTATGCGAATAATATAATATACTGTGTGTGTGTGTGTGTGTGTGTGTATGTATGTGTGTGTGTATATATATATATATATATTGTAAGCTGCTCTGACTCCCCTTCGGGGTGAGAAGGGCGGCATATAAATGTCGTAAATAAATAAATAAATATTCTTTGCCAACCTCTCCTTGTGAATCAAAATGAGGAATATGAACACATTAAAACACAACCTATACAATCACTTAAAACATCAGATTAAAAGAACATATATATTCATTACATATTAAAACCCTCAGTGCATAATTTAATATTCAACATTTAAAAATCATCTGGATAGACCTGCTGAAAGAGCCAGACCTTTATTGCTGTTTTAAATTGAGATATGAATTGTTCATTATGAAAAGGCAATGAACGGATAATCAGCCTCTATTGTATTTTTGTGGCCAAGAAGACAAAGTGGTTTGCCTCATGGAATTTTCTGCCTCCAAATGCCTAAGTAACTTGGTTATCCTTGTATCACTATGTACCACGGTTTAGGAGAAGGGGCACTAAAATGCCTTACTGTGTGGCAGGGAAGCTTGCATGTGATATAGTCCCCCAGGTACACTTTGGTTTTATCTATATAAATAAAAATGTAATGTTCGTTTGTGGCATTAACATAACTCGAAAACCACTGAACGAATTGACACCAAGTTTGGACACAAGGCACTTATCAGGCCAACGAGTGACCATCGCTCAGAAAAACACAGCGTCAAAAACAACTCCAACCCCAAAAGGCTGTTAGGAAGGCTGTTAGGAATTGTGGGAGTTGGAGTCCAAAACCCCCAGAGGGCCCAAGTGGTCTACACTGTGGAATTATTCCACAGCATTGAGCCATGGTAGTTAAAGGGGCCCCATAGGCCATCCAGCCCAACCACTTTTTGCAGTAAAGGAAAACACCATCAAAGCCCTCCCAACAGATGGCCATCCAGTTGGAAAGGAGCCCCAAAGGCCATCCAGTCCAACCTCATTGGGCGGTAAAGGAAGACACCATCAAAGCCTACCTGACAGATAACTAACCAGTTGGAAGGGAGCCCCTAAGGCCATCCAGTCCAACCTCATTGGGTGGTAAATGAAGACACCATCAAAGCCTACCCGACAGATGGCCAACCAGTTGGAAGGGAGCCCCAAAGGCCTTTTAGTCCGACCCCCTTTGGCCCTTTAAAGGTATGTGTCTGTCTGACCATCCATCCATCCACCTACCTACTTATCTTATTTTCTATCCATCTACCTTCTGTTCATCTATCAATGTCCTTTACATATGTCTCTTCTGTCCATTGTTCCATGCCTGGATTTCCTCTGTTTTCTGAGAGCCACAGCAACACATGGCAGGAGACAGCTAGTACAAATATATAATTTCTAATTGCAGAATCTAATTGCAGAATCTTGAAGAGAAAAAGGCATGGTCACAGGGTAAGCATCTATGTTAATATACAGTGAGAGCCCCGTATCCACGGGACGAGCGCCTGCAGTTTTGTTTATCCAGGTTTGACACAATACATCATCTCTGGATATTGTTATTACTATTTCATACACAACCAGATCGGTACACAGCAAACAAGATCACTATGCTGGCTTTTGCTGGCTCCATGTAAGCCGCTCCAAGTCCCCATTGGGGAGATGGTGGCGGGGTATAAATAAAGTTATTTATTATATTATTTTGTATTTGATCACACATTGGACACTTCCCAAGTGTCTAGGACTGTGTGATGTATTGGCAAACAATGTGTGCAGATCCGAGTAGGGTGGCCTTTTGCAGCTGACAGGTGGTAATTTTGTCAGTGCAGATTGTTTTTAAGTACAGGCCAAGGTCTTTAGGCACTGCACCCAGTGTGCCGATCACCACTGGGACCACCTTTACTGGCTTGTGCCATAGTCTTTGCAGTTCAATCTTTAAATCCTCATATTGTGTAAGCTTTTCCAGTTGCTTCTTGTCAATTCTGCTGTCGCCTGGTATCATCATCATCATGGACCTATCCCCAGGATACTACTCTTGGAGGACCATCATCCTCCAAGAGTAGTATCTTGGAGGATGATGGTCCTCCAAGATACTACTTGGAGGGATCGCCTAAGTAAGTTAAGTAAGTAAGTAAGAATCATCATCATCATCATCATCATCATCATTTCTCTTCCCATGGATAATCCATTGAAAATATCAATTCAAAAGAACATTTTCTAGGTCCTCCGGCACGATTCTATGATATCCTTGAATCAATAATCCTTTATTTCAATAGGGTTTGCTATTATTTGCATTTTCATGTTACTTCCCACATCAAGTCCAGAAGTTTTGCAACCTATGAGGCTTTGAGGTTTATTATATGGAATTGACACATCTGCCCAGTAAGCTGGTTTCTGTGACACCAGTTTATGTATTGATAAAGTAGTACAATCTTCTGAAGGTTCAGTGGTCAGGGGAGGGAGATAGCTTAGTTTCTGCTGCTCTAGAAACTAGGGCACTGAGCAATGGATTCAAACTGGAGAAAAGAGGAGTTCATCTAAATCTACTAATGGTAAGAGCTGTTCGGCAGTGGAGTATGCTGTTGTCTGGGAGTGTAGTGGAGTCTCCTTCTCTGGAGGTTTATAAACAGGCTGGATGGTCATCTGTCTGGAGTACTTTGATGGTGCAGAATGAGAAGATGTTTTGCTACAGCAAGGATGGGTAAGCTCAAATCACACTCACCATGGCTGTCACCATCAAAGCCAGTAGAGGCAGTCCCCAAGTTACAAACATCTGACTTACAGACAACTCACAGTTAAGAACAGGGGTGAGACAACAGGAAGTGAGAGAAATCTACTCCACAGAAGAAAAATTCACTCCTGGAACAGTTCTCACATGGAAAAGGTGTCTCAGCGCTGAAGCTTTCTCACCAATCTTTGTTTCCACAAGCAAAATTGTATTGTCGAAGGCTTTCATGGCTGGAATCACTAGGTTCTTGTGGGTTTTTTCGGGCACTACCTCTGAGGATGCTTGCCATAGATGCAGGCGAAATGTCAGGAGAAATGCCTCTGGAACATGGCCCTATAGCCTGAAAAAACCCCACAAGAACAAGCAAAATTGTTTAAATCCAATTATCACAGGGACAGAAAGGGAGGTGAAATCTTCTGACCAGGGGCACAGTCCGGAAAACAAACACCACAGGGGTGTTAGCTATTCCCTATGCTGTCCAAAACTTTAAAAAATTGTCTGGAGTTACCCAAAAGATTGTGCCTTATATACAAATTCAATTTTAGAAAAAAATTACAGAACATAGCTTAGGGACTGCCTGCACTTAAACTGCACTTGGCACTTTGAGCACATTGCCCTGTGGTAATGGGCAGGGGACAGGACCAGCGTTACCTGTCCTGGAGCACAGGTAAATACAGACTCCCCTTCCTTCAGGGCACCTCTCATTCCTCACTCCTCTCAAACAGGTGCATTTTGACTCTTCCGCTGTCCCAGTTTTCCCCAATACTGGGCTGAGTCTTTGGCAGTGTTCATTTCCTGAATCTCCTTCGCTCTGGGCTGTCTCACGCCATCGAGGCGCACCCTGACCCATCTCCTGCACTGGGAAAAAAGCAAGTGCATGCCCTTCGTCCACCACGGCTGAGAGGCTCAGTAAGAACTCTGTGTCCCAGTTCAAAAAGTAAATAAAGCCTTGCTCTTTGGAGCCGAGAAGGGAGAGTACGTAATAAGGGGCAACGTTGTGGGTTTGCTTATTTGTTTGCCACCTGTCAAGTGGTTGAAGTGTTGCATACCATTCTGTGAAGTCCAAAAAGATTGTGGATTTGCCATATCCTAATTCAGCCATCAAATACTCCTCTGAACAAAGACACTTATTTTTGTGCCTTTCAAGGCTGACAGAAGAACGGAATCCTTTTTGCCTCTGAAAGTGAAAATACCCGAGAGGCTTGTGACATGTTGTTTGTCCACAGGTTGCACACAAAAACCATGCGCGTTTCTAAAGGATTGACATATGAAACATTTGTACAAGCGTGCTTTGGCCAAAACACACACTCAGATACAAAGATGCATATACTAAATAATAATAATAATAATAATAATAATAATAATAACTTCCTCACATCCTCAGCTGCTGCAAGAAGATCGCGCAGACAGACTACAAGCAGAGGCATAACACCGTTGCTCAGATGATTCATTGGAACTTGTGCCACAAATACCATCTGCCTGCAACAAAGAACTGGTGGGATCACAAGCCGGAAAAAGTTACAGGAAATTAACACGCCAAGCTCCTCTGGGACTTCCGAATTCAGACAGAAAGAGTTTTGGAGCATAATACTCCTGACCTCACAATCGTGTTAAAAAACAAAGTATGGATCGTCGATGTCGCAATCCCAGGTGATAGCAGGATTGCAGAGAAACAACTGGAAAAGCTGACCCGATATAAGGATTTAAAAATCGAACTGCAAAGACTCTGGCACAAACCAGCAATGGTGGTCCCAGTGGTGATTGGCACACTGGGTGCAGTGCCTAAAGACCTTGGCCTGCACTTAAACACAATAGGCAATGACAAAATTACCATCTGCCAGCTGCAAAAAGCAATCTAACTGGGATCTGCACGCATTATTTGCCGATACATCACAGAGTCCTAGGCACTTGGGAAGTGTCCAACGTGTGATCCAATTCAACAGCCAGCAGTGGACTCATCTTGTTGTCTTTCAAATAATAATAATAATAATAATAATAATAATAATAATAATAATAATACTGTGGGACTTTCGAATCCAGACTGACAAAGTTTTGGAACACAATACACCAGACATCACGATTGTGGAAAAGAAAAAAAAAATCTGGATTATTGAAGTCACCATACCAGGTGACAGCCGCATTGAGGAAAAACAACAGGAAAAACTCAGCTACTATCAAGACCTCGAAATCGAACTGCAAAGGCTCTGGCATAAACCAGTACAGGTGGTCCCAGTGGTCATCGGCGCACACTGGGTGCCGTGCCAAAAGATCTCAGCTGGCATTTGGAAACAATAAACATTGACAAAATCATGATCTGTCAACTGCAAAAGGCCACCTTACTTGGATCTGCGCGCATCATTCGAAAATACATCACACAGTCCTAGACGCTTGGGAAGTGTTCAACTTGTGATTTTGTGATACGAAATCCAGCATATAGATCTTGTTTGCTGTGACATACTGTGCTTTTGTGTCAGTAAAATAATAATAATAATCTTTATTTATACCCTTACCATCTCCCTAATGGGGACTCGGGGCGGCTAACATGGGGCCAAGCCCAAAAAATACAATACAACGCAATAAAATACAGAATGCGCATCAGAAAATAATCAGAGTAGCAAAACAAAACAATAAAGCAAATTCACGCAATATAAAATCGAACAGGATGGGCAGGCCAAATGGATGAGATAAAATGATAAAACCCTGGGTGAGGTGGGAATAGAAAATTTGTAAGTGAGGGGAGTCCAAGAAGGATAAAACAGTGGGGTAAGGCTAAAGCAGGAATACCCACAAGTCGCATGTGACTACTTGCACCGTTTCAGGTATCCTAAGGATCCTTTTTTTTTTTTAAAAAAAAAAAGGCCCAAAGCACTCTAAGGGCAAAGATTTTGCCATATTTTTCCCAAGCCGTTTTAAGTCCAAAAAGGTCTTTTTTCTAACAAGAAATGACCACAAGATTAAATATATATATACAGGGGAGTGCAGCCCTGCAAGGGGGACATATTTATTTATGACATTTATATGCTGCCCTTCTTACACCGAAGGGGACTCAGAGCAGCTTACAAGATATATATACACACAATATATTATTAGCATAGTACAATATCATTATTATATATTACTATATTGTACTACACCATTATATTGTAATACTAGCTGTCCCTGCCACGCGTTGCTGTGGCCCAGTCTGTGTATATGTGTTTTGTGTGTGTATATATGTGTATATGTGTGTGTATATATATGTGTATTTGCGTATATATGTGTATTTTTAACATGCGTATAACATGCCATGAAAGCCTTCAACAATACACAGTCCTTTTGCATTTGTTTTTAATTGAATCATGAGGATCCAACAGACCTCCCTATCTCTGAGGATGCTTGCCATAGATGCAGGCAAAACGTCCGGAGAGAATGCTTCTAGAACACAGCCATAAAGCTCAAAAAACCTACAACAACCCAGTGATTCCAGCCATGAAAGCTTTGACAATACATGCTTTTTTTTAGTCCTTTGTCTCCACAAAATCTATGAAGTGGGGAGATTGAGCCTTGCTTTGAGTGCCAAGCTTTGGCTCCTGGTCATGAACAAGGAAGGAAGGATGGATGGAAGGAC